TGACGAGTCTGACTTTTTTTTCCACATTGGACTCCATCAAGAAGAAATCCTGTGCARACTGCTGCTMAAATGTCCACTACGTCAGAACTTAATCGGCAAATGTGTTTCCATCTCTGCTTTTGTGCATTAACTCTTACAGGATGGGAGAAATTGGTCTTGGCGGAGGTTTGCACTCTCCCAGTGCTTCTAGTTATTTATTTATTCAGAACAGCAACGTGTTGACTCATTAGGCTGATTATCATTGTTGGCGGTGAGCGTCTCTCAGGCAGCTTGACGCTGTTTTTTCTCCATGTTTTGGTAAAACATGGAGGTTTAGGTTAACATGGTCATGGTTGGTAGCATATTCAGATCCAGAATCCAGGCAGACATAAAACAGTTCCAGCAGTAAACTTAGAGAAGCTGTAAAAGCAGCAAAACTTACACAGAAGAATCACAAGAAACAAAACAAACAGACTGTGGTATTGAAGCCAAGAATGCTATACTGATGTGAAAATAGATACAGACCGAATAATGAGGCTGGGACTAATGAGAGAAGTGTCTTCAGCTGTGACAGGACCAGGGAGCATGTGAAGATGGGTGTTGCAGGCAGACTAACACTGAGGAGCAACTAACTAAAGACAGGTGGGTGACACACAGCACACAGGAACACAGTGAAAAAAAACCCATAAAACAAGCAAGTAAACTAAACACAATAATCACAAAACAATAACAAAACACTAAATATCCCAAACAAAACTAACACAGATCCTGACAAATATGTAAAAACTAACCCTCCAGTGAAGATATTTTCCATGTTTTGCCATCTGGTGTGTGATTACTGGATTAATGGATGTTTGGAGAAAGGCAGAGACTCTGTCAGGCTGCATTCTGGATCTGATTTGTTCTCATTTGGACAATGAAGAACACATCGATCTGACTCTGTTTCAGTCTTCATCACTGTCACTGGCAGTTTGTTCCTTTGTTTGTATTTCCTCCTCTGTAGTTTGCTGTGGAGGATTTCTGGTTAGGGTGGGGTTATTAAAAAATACACCAGAACTTTGAACATCCCACTGAGAACCATCAAATCCTATTATTATAAAATGGAAACATAATATCACCACAGCAAATCTGCCAAAACAGTATCATCCACCCGAACTCTTGAAGCAGGCAAACAAGGACAATTCAGAAAAAACAACCAAGATTCCAAATATAATCCTGATGGAACTGGGCAGCCCACAGTCCACACCTTCAACTGAGAATCCTTGGTATGAATCAAAGATTGCTTTTGGTGGACAAAATGCTTCCATGTCAGGAGTTAGAAAATCTGAACTTTGTCAACCAGTCAGAAGCTGCGTTTCCATTGACCATGAAAATGTGCAAATTAGAATTTTGAAAATGAATTTGCTCAGTGGAAACATGTCAATTTAGAAAAAAATAAGGTTTTTGACAAAAATGTTTTTGCGCAAGGATGAGGTGGTATTTCTGCCGTATCGAAATTGGTGTTTTTCTCAAAACTGCAATGGAAACACTTTTTTCGCATCACGGGAGTCACCTGATCAACAACCGGCTGTTTCTACTGGTGAAAAAGACGACGAAGAAGACGATAACAGGAAGTACGTAATAGTAATATCACAGAAGTAGTAAAATAAAGTAGTAAACTCACCGACTACAATTTCCCAAAAACACAGCATACGTAGCCGCTCCCAAGTAGGGACTTGTCTCTGGAAAGCCTCGATAAAAGACGCCGACGTCTCCTCTGATGATGAGCGCTAGTGTCGTGGTAGCAACATGCTATGTGTTTACATCCATCGCTGCCATGTTTGTAATGACTTATCATGAGAACAAACGTATTCACGTGACTTTAATAACATTTCTTACTTAATGGAAACACCGCAGTTGCGAAACTGTGTTATTTTGACATTAACAGAATATCAACAAAGTTTTGCGCACATTTGCAATGGAAACACAGCTACAGTGACTCTGCTATGTGACATAATGGGGCATTTTCCCAACGGGACGGTCTCCTGAATGATGTCCACCAACCTGAGACAGATGGACAGGAGCATTTCAGCTGAAATCCAGCGCCTGTAGTTGGTATCCTGGCAGGAGGTTGTTGGCACTGATGCGGGTCAGTGGCTTGTCAAACTGGGCTCGTTGATTGGTTCACTGACTGGGGAGTTTATATCACACAGATGAGAGTAACTTATCTGAATCATTTGCATCGACTGTAGCATGTTTTTTTCCAACAGTAGCAAGCTACCAACAACAAGCTAACAGAAAGCTAACATTAGTTAGTCCATTATTGTTTTGTCACAAACAAAACTAAATAATATCACGTGTTTAATACCATGGTCTTGCCCACATCGAGGTGATGCTCAATCCAAACACAACCCGGTCCGGAGTAGAGTAAAGTGCCATCTGGAGCCAGGAAAGGGCAAAATGGGCTTTATAATGTAAAAACCCCTACGTGCTGGAGGGACTTTGTGTCCTCTCTAGCCTGGGAACTTTTGGGCATCCACCAGCAAAAGCTGGAGMTATTGGGGAGAAAGTCTATGTTTCCTTTCCCAACCTGTTGCCTTGGATAAGTAGGGAAAAAAATGAATGCGTTGATGGACAGACAGAGGAAAGCATGTTTACTCAATGCAATGCATGAATCAATGAAATCATTTACAACAGGAGATGAGAAGGCAAAACAGAACAAGGGGAGCTGATCAGGTATCAAAAGAAGTGCAAGGACAGAAAGAGTTCTTATTTGAATAATTAAGATTACAAAACACAAGTATAAAAGACAGATGCCTCTTCAGTTATTTGTAATAATTCAATTCATTTCAATTCAGTTTATTTATATAGCTCCAAGTCACAACATTCGTTGTCTCAGGGCACTGAACATGAAAAAAGAACAATGTAAAGAAGAAAGCAGCAGATTGTGTTGAATCACTTCATCACAGTCTCCCATCCTGAGCAAACGGTGGAGAGGAAAAACTCCCTGCTAATCAGGAAGAAACCTCCAGCAGAACCAGGCTCAGGACAGGAGACCATCTGCCTCGACCGGCTGGTTGGAGGACAGGAAAAAGACAAACACAGAAGAACTGGTCCAGGACTGGTCCAGGTGCACCTTCTTCTGTAGAAGACAAAGAAAAAACCTGTTATAGGACCAGTGGTGACCGGGCTTTTTCATTTGCAGCCCCTAGCATCTGGAATGCCCTTCCCTTTGAGTTACGTTCCATCAATGATGTCGAATTATTCAAAAAGGGCTTAAAAACCTTCTATTTTAAACAACCTTTTAGCTGTTTTGGTAAAAGTTGTTGAACCCAGTGGCTGTTGTGGTAGCTGAGTTTTCTCTTGCCTTGGTCCAAGTTTGATTTACATTTTTCTGTAAATGTAATATGTAAATGGGTTAGTATTTTATTTTTTGTGTTGTCTTTTTTTTCATTTGGCTCAATGTTGTTGCTGACACACCTTTTTTGGGATGGAAATACTTGACGGCTCCATGATATTTTTGTTGCATTGTTGTACTGTGTATTTTTGTATTGTAAAGCACTTTGTGAACTCATTTCTAAGAAAAGTGCTTTATAAATAAAATTTTTACTTACTTTGTTGGGGTTGATCTGCCTCATGGTTCGTTCACACCGAACGCGTTTTGAGCTGCAGGAGTGGCCGATTCACATGCAAAGTCTATGGTGGACGCGCCTCTAGGGGTCGTGCGTCGCGTCACGTATGTTTTGGGCGGCGCGTAAGGAAGGTGGAAGGGGCGCAGAGCGTTTTCCGCGCATGCGGTGCTGCGGAAGCCGCCGCCGCCCGAGTTGAAATATCTGAACTTTTCGACGCTTCTCCCACTGAAAACCGAAACAGACGGACTGGAGATCTTTACCTGAAATCGACCATGTGCAGTTGGATTTTCTGGCAGGATATATCAGCACCGATGTGGATCAGCTGCTTGGGACCAAAAAAAAAAAAAGTCCATCAGCTGGCAGCTTCTGGAGTGACGAAACTAACCGAACAAATCGCCTCTAAATCATCTGGTGAGTTAATTATCTGCTGTGCGTAATGTTCGCTTGCTTTTAAGTAAATAAATCAAAGCCATTTTCTTTTATTTTATCTTTATTCACCCACCGAGGACATGCTCCTCCCACACCTCGCTGCTGCTTCTTGTTCTGGTCTGAACACTAGTGCGTTCTTTGGTCTGAACATAGTGCGTCCAACGAGAGGCGTTTTGCGCTTTTTTGGCTGCTCAAAATGCGTTCGGTGTGAACGCAGCATCAGAACTCTCTGTACCTGGCTTGATAAGACAGATGGTGGTGGGGAGGTTGGGGGGGGGGTTCCTGGTTGAGTGTGTGTGTGTGTGTCCCCTGTGGTGCTGGAGGCTTCAAAGCGGGAGTAAAATGTGTTAAGCACATCTGGGAGATTGTCTGTGGAGCCGATGATGTTGGTGGGGGTTCTGTAGTCTGTGATGTGTTCCACGCCTTGCCACTAGGGGTGGGTGATACTGGGAATTTTGGTATCGATCTGTTACCAAGTAAATACTATGCTAGAATCGCTTATTTCGATACTGATTCCGATACTGGGGGGACGAGGCTGTCGGTCACGAAGAGGACAGCGCCTGCTGCAAAGCACGCAGGAGGAAMGGAGAAGTGAGGAAGTGCAGAACTTATTACTAGTCTCATTACTAGCATCAGAACAGGTTTGAAGTTGGTCGTTTGATGTTATTTTTTAGCGTCCTACAGGCTCTGACATGTTGAAGAAATTTGAAACTGAGGTTTTGAAAAAATCTATTAAACTTGAAAAAATCAGTGAGATTTCTCTATACATCCAAATACCTGCAAAATGATGGAAAYTCTGTAAATTGTGGACAATCTGTTCAACTTGACATGTATGAATTTTCCTTGAAGAATTATGCCGTAAGGCCATGGATTATCTAAAAAAAGTTGAATACAGTTTGCCACAAAAGGTTTTTATTAAGTTTTCATCATCTCTCCTCCAAGAAAGTTCTMCAMCTTTATCAGTGCCTTCACATGGTTGGCAAACAAGTTTGACTGATCAAAACTGGTGTTGACATGCAAAGTGGACCATTAGTCGATCGTTAGTGCCCTGATTATCACCTATTGTTGAGTCACTCTTGCGATAACACTATTGTAAGAGGGAAACACATTGACATGGAGGAGACCCCCAGTGCTAAACGGCAGACGGCTTCTCTTCACAAATATAAGATAAGATGAGATAAAACTTTCTTGATCCCACAGTCTGGAAATTTGCACATTACAGCAGCTTAATACAGGAGAGACTGAGAAGAATAATTAAAGATAATTAAAAAAAAAAACAAAAAAAAAACAACCCCACAATATACACATGTGATATATAGTAATGTACCAATGCACATATACACATATACATAAACACATTTGCATATTTGTATAGATATATAC